GGGGACTCTGCATGTATGTTGTCTGCTGTTTTGCTGCATGTGTGATTCCAAGTTATCTCGCGACCTATCGCTGACGAATGGAACTAAAAAAAAAAAAGATAGTCGGAAGAGGAGGAGGAGGAGAGAAGAAGAAGAAGAAGAAGAAGAAGAAGAAGATGGGCGGAAGAGGAGGAGGAGAGAAGAAGAAGAAGAAGAAGAAGAAGAAGAAGAAGAAGAAGATGGGCGGAAGAGGAGGAGGAGAGAAGAGGAAGGAGAAGAAGATGAGGGGGAGGCGGGGGAGGAGAGAAGAAGAAGAAGATAGTCGGCCGTGGAGCAGTTTTCTTTTTTTGTTTTTTACCTGTCATTTATCTCCCGAACTATCGCTGACGAATGGAACAAAAAAAAAAGAAAAAGAAGATAGTCGGAAGAGGAGGAGGAGGAGAGAAGAGGAAGGAGAAGAAGATGGGGGGGAGGCGGGGGAGGAGAGAATAAGAAGAACAACAACAAGGGATCAGTTTCCTTTTTTTTTTTTTCCTTACCTGTCGTTTTCTCGCGACCTATCGATGACGAATGGAACAAAAAAAAAAGAAAAAGAAGACAGTCGGAAGAGGAGGAGGAGGAGAGAGGAAGAAGAAGAAGAAGAAGAAGAAGAAGAAGAAGATGATGATGATGATGATGATGATGATGATGATGATGATGATGAGAGGGGGACGGGCGGCTCCATGGCGACGGGCGACGGGCGGCTCCACGGCGCTGGCGACTCCACGGCGCTGGCGGCTCCACGGCGCTGGCGGCACCACGGCGACGGGCGACAGGGGAGTGAAGCTCCCAGGCGATGTCTACGGGCGGCTCCACGACGACGGGTGGCTGAACCACGAACTGCGCCGGCGAGGGAAGACCAAGGCCCCGTTTGGACAGCCGATGCAGGCCGCGGCAGCCAGTCGGCTGTTCAAACGGGTCGACGTTTTCCCTCCAAACATCAAACGGCCCTCTGGCCGTCGATCATGGATGATCGACGGCCGGAGGGCCGTCACAATTTCAAAAACAAAAAGCTGGCCTCACGGGCCCGACTCGCCTTTTTTCAGTCCTCGTCGGACCCAGTAGACCCTGGGGACCCCAGCTGACGGCGATTCGGGGTCTGAAACCCCCCCCCGACAAGGTGTGCTGGGGGTGCCCGGCCCCCAACCGGGCCGCCCGCCCGGCCAGGCCGCCCGGGACCTCCCCCGGGCAGGCGCTGGTCGACCGGGCTGCCCGGATCCGTACTCAGGTAATTTGCCAAATACCCCCATAAGTTGAGATATATGTCAAAATGCCCCTAAAAGATATGGACACAGTGGAATGGCCTTTTCGGCTGGCATGTTTGTCTTATGCCCCTGTCAGGCGGGTGGCAAATTCGCTTGGCCTTTTGCAATTGCACCTACGACACGTTGGCAACTGCCGGGCCATTTTGCAAAGTTGGGCAGCTTTCGGTAGGGGTACGTTGCAAAGATGGTATCCAACTGATGGCTGCGGTGTTTCGCAAAATGTTTTTGTCATCGTCCTACGCTGCGGCAGGTCCACTTGTTATTATGAATTGTTTAAATAAAGAGGAAGTGAGAAAAGGAGGAGGAGATTGGTTGGCGAGAGGAAGGGGAATTATGATTGGTCTTTGCTGTAGTACATCTTCTTCTTCTTTCTTTCTTCGTCTTCATTCTTTCTTCATTCTTTCTTCTTCTTCCTCTTCTTCTTCTTCTTTCTTCTTCTTCTTCTTTTTTCCCTCTCTCTCCTCTCAAGTTCATTCATTTCATTTTGCAATTGGACAGCATTGTGCTTTCTCGTGAATTTGTACTTCGAGATCGGCCAGGATCGTAGGCCACTAGACATTGTGAACACGTATGCAATCAGACTCGCTCTCTTTTCCACTTCGCATTCATGCAAACAGATGACAAGCCACACTGGCGCTCAGCACCCACTCAAAGCTCGGAGATACGGAAGTCGGAAACACAGTTCAGATACATGCTCGCTTCAACAGGCTATGGCGCATCAGCGCCTGTACAACTCTCTGTTCGTCACTGTGCTAAACTCCGCTGTCCACACACACTCAACTCAGGATCACCCTGGATATCCCACACGCGACACACTGTATCACACACACGCACACACTACACTCCCCTACCACCTATGGCGGCTATGGCCGCTCGACCCTGCTGGCTATGGCTACGCAACCTCTCCTTTGCCCACTTCGTCTTCGGGCGCTCTGCAGACCACCTCGCACAAGTCGCTCAAGCAGCGCTTCCGCATGGCTTACACAGGAATGAATGATTGGCTGGGCGCTGCCTTTTGATTTATACTTCTGTAGCTCGTTGGTCTGCCCCTTTCCCATGCCCCTGGCGCACACAGTCCCACACGGTACTTGCTTGACTGGACTGTGACTGACTGGGACCGGAACTGCTGACTGCATGGGTTTGCACTGCCGACGTACAGCAGTTGGGCTCACCACTTGGCCACTTGCCTCTGTCTAAATGTTAGCAAACTTCGAAAGGCCACTACTGGGACCTTCCGGAAGTCTGCAGACCTGGCCTTTCAAATACTGTAGCAGCTACAACCTTGACCTTTCAAGACTGTCGCAGCTACGACCTTGACCCTTCAGGACACCTACAGCTACGACCTCCAGGACTCACAAAGACCTCTATCCAACAGGTCTACAAATCGAACCCCTACAACCTACGGACCTACGACAGCCTACCAACTGTTGCGAATACACAGGTCACGGGTTCAACTCTCGGGGTCGACACAGGGACTGTACACAGGTAAGGTAAGGACTGGGGATCGAGCCCTGGGATCTGCATTCGCCACTGCTAACAGGTGAATACCGTTTCACGTAGGACAATCCTGGAAGAAAAGAAAGAAAAGAGAAAAGGAAAAAAATCAATTCTGCCATCGAACATTGATGATATCACACAATGTGCAAGTGTTGGTGGCACACTTTGCATCAATGCTACCAAGCACTGATGACAAACTTTGTATCACACTCCGTATGGCACAAAGAGTGTCAATGTGGTTCTGTATGATTATGGCTTAGAACCTGTATGTGTGCTGCAGCTTTGCCATCCTAACTTCCGTAAAGAAGAGAGGACGTCTAAACATTCCCACGGCGAGACCACACCTTTATCTCACCTGTATGATCGACGGATACAGACTGTTGAAGTCCAAGAGGAGCACGTACTTGTCATAAAAGCCCTTCTTTGGCTCTAATACCAGCCCGCCCAGATAGGATGCACCTTTCTTCTGTTTGCCTCCACCACTGCCTGCGAACTCAGGCTCCTCTTCTGGTTCTTCACCAAATGCTCCCTCAGCCTGAAGTTCGGCCAAGTTGGTACCTGTCGAGCCCGCTGCCCCCTTGCCTTTCTTTCGACCAGCTGTATCCCCTCCTGCCGCTGCATTTGCTTTCTCTCGATCCTTCTCTTTTTCCCAGGCTGTTTGCTTGTCAGGAAGAATGAATTTCCGGTTGTGAAACTCATGCAGCAAAAGAAACTCGATCCTCTGTGCTCTTGCACCCTGTGCAAATCCATCCACATCCGCAAGATAGACACAACCATCCGATCGAGCTCAACAAAAATTAAGTTGGTTCTTGTGCCCTCCTCAACGCAACCAACACAAACAACTACCAAAATGGAAGGTGTGTGAGTCAGAAGATTCGATAACTTGTAGGCTGACGAAGACTCATGGCTACAATGGACCTGGACACCTGACACAAAACAGTGTGGATTGGATCCAGACGCCTGGATCTGATCCAGACCAGCAGGTGCCCTAATTGTCGTGTTTTATTTCGTCCTGAATATGTTTCTCAAATTTACCTGCAACTTTTGAAACGACCATCAGCCAAAAGTTGTTCGTAATGCGATGCTGCACCGATGTTCACCATGACCAAGTCCCAATGGTTTGCGTGTCTGGACAAATCTTTTTTCCAGATCTTTTTGAAAACGTGAAATTCGGCAAAATGGTATATGTTTTTTTTCAATCTTTTTAAATTTTGAGTACTCCAGACTGAGGTGCGAACATCTGGTTCGTGGTTTGCTGTGGAGGTCTGACTTACTATCACAGAGAGCTACAAAACGAGGCCACTCGCATAAAACTGTTAAACAATTCACAATCCTCATTGTATACGTTCGGACCATACTTGCGGCGCATCCCGTGCGTGCCACTGACGCACATGTGGCGCACTGCGCATTGGGAACGTGGCGCGCCCCATGGGCAAAATTCGGAGTCAGCCAAAAAAAAATAACAAAAATTCGGGAGGGGGTGAATCGAAGTTCCCACGCCCAGCCAAAATTAGGACATTGCCCACAGAATTTTTTTTCAGGACCGCGCTGCCCCAAAAACTGTGTGTTGTCATGTTTGCTGTACACAACTCCATGCTATCTTCAGTGTATCCGAGTCCTTTCAGAGCACCAATACGGTCATGATGAGGATGCGTCTGTGGAACAGTTGCTTTCCTCTCATTACTTCCAGATATAGAAAACGACAGAACTGACAGTTGTGTTTCCTAGTGCTTTTGCTATAAAAAAAAAAAGAGAGAGAAAGAGAATGTTCGTGACAAGTTGAAAACCAACAACGTGGAAACATGCAGTCGCTATACACATGCACAAAAGACAAAAAAAATGGCGGTGTATCTTTCCATGTTCTAGCGAAAGATTCATACTGATTTTGCAGAAATTGGAGAGTAGTTAAGTGAGGCCCTATTACGACTTACCTGCCACCAGAATCCGTAGGGCCTCTCTCAACTACAAACGTCCGTTGTAGTGCCTCTGTCAGATGACGACTGCAAGTACGCTTCAAGTCCAGCTGTAGTCTGGTGCGATGCAAGGGCCTCGCTCCACTACTCATGCACAAAAGACAAAAAATATGGCGGTGCATCTTTCCATGTTCTAGAGGAAGATTCATTCTCATTTTGCACATTTGGAGAGTGGTGGAGTGCGGCCCCAAGCTACCGTTGTATGGCCCTCGCTCCCCCACTCTCCGAATGTGCAAAATGAGAATGAATCTTCCGCTAGAACATGGGAAGATCCCCACCATATTTTTGACTTTTGTGCATGTGGAGAGCAGTGGAGAGAGTCCCTATCAGCGGGGTTGTCATGCGGGGATCCCCGGGGTCCGAGCCGGGGTGGGGTTTTTACCCCCGGACCCCTGCAGTGAGGACCACCGACCCCCGCACCCCGCCATCCAACCCCGCCCCTGCCCC